GCCCACTGGCTCATACTACATACATAGTATGATATGACGGCTCTTTTTGACCTTCCTTTCACAGCTTAGAGCCCTAGCTCTATAGCTCTAGACCTAGGCATCTTACGCCTAGGACCCTTTCACCCTTTTTGGCCTAGCCCTTATGGCTCCCAATACCTGTATATATAGTCCTCCTTTTAGCACCCTACATAGCTCTTCACTTGTAGATTCTAAGTACACAATCGGAGTCCTGTTTATACCCTTTTGGTCACAATATTAATATTTATAATTGTCAGAAGTGTATGTAGATTATATTCAGGTACAGAATCTAAGCTATGTTATTGAGCATATAAGTAAACAAGATGGACGCTAGTAGTGAATATAGAAGAGGGGTAGTGCTGTGATACCCGTAGTACCCATGACTTTCTAACAATAATATTATAAATATTATAAAATTTATATCTGCGGAGTATTTGCGGAGTATTTGCAGCAGATACCCAACGGGTCCCCATTCAGATTTTTCTATTATCCGCCCCGCAGACGGAGGACCCGCGGGGTACCCGTTGCGCAGCCTATGGATATCTATATTGGATCGGGTGGCATGAAGAAACTGGATGGCATGTTCGGGTTGGGTTGAATGTACAAAATGAGTTGAGTGTACTCGAGTAGAAATTGAACTGAATAAACAATTTGTGTTGAAGGTATAAGTTGAGTTGAATGTAGAAATTGGATAGGATTGTTCAAGCTGGGTTGAATATAAAACTTTGATTAAACAAACAAGTTGTATTGAATGTAGGAAATGAGTTAAACAAGGTGCGTTGAATATTTAAAGCTGGGTTGGATGTAGAAAATGAGTTGAACATAGAAAATGAGTTCAGCAAACAAGTTTTATACTGAACATTCAAGGTAGATTGAATGTAGAACTGGAATTGATTGTCCAGATTGGATTAAACATACAAAATGGGTTCTATATACAAATCAAAGCAAAGTCTACTATCTACCGTGTACTTCTTCATATGAAGTAGTATCCAGACCGTTCATGATGGCATTGTAATCCTACCTATGTATCTTGGATGCACACATCTCGCCTAAAATTATATCCCCATTAGGAGCAGGAACACAGTGCAGTTCAAGATGAAAGATTATATTGTAATATATGTAGTATGTATACGGAATTTCCATCAATCACATATATTCCGTTTCGTATCAAATGTATGAAAGGTGAGAAATTGATGTGGTTCCACGACAGTGATCTTTCTGTCGCAACCCTCTAGGCTCTAGCCCACTCTGGTTCAACTCACGTCACGTCTTGTCACGTCTTTTCACTTCCCGACAAGGAAGGAAGGCAGAGATCAGTACCACAGGAATACCGCCGTCGCCGAATAATTCACGTAGGGACGCGCGGTTTAATCGCGTGAAATAACGCGTTGAAGATGAGAATTTGTCTCAAATGGGCTTAGTTTTGAGATATGCAACATCACTTCTCCAAATCCCTTCATATTCCTGAATAGTTGCACCGAAAACCCCCGAATAGTCAAGGTCTTGAGATATGAGGCAGGATCACTTCTCCAAATCCCTTGCTAGTCCCGAATAGTCAAGGCCTTGGGATATGAGGCAGGATCACTTCTCCAAGTCCCTCCCGAATAGTTGCTCCGAGAATTCCCAAATAGGTAAGGTCTTGAGACGCGCAGCAAGATCACTCTCATATTCTCACTTCTATAAGTATATAGATAAGATACCCTCTTTTGGTTCCTTTTCCTTTCAGCATCGCCAGACAACGATACCCGTAACCTTTACTTTTCTCTCCCAACTAATTTTATTCTCGATCCCCACTCTCTCTATCTCTCATACACACATACACACACACTCTCTCTCTCTCTCTCTCAATTTTTACCTCTCCTCTCTCGCCGCAGGCCTCACAGCTCTTACCCCCACTCGCCGCATTCTCTCCTTCCCCCCCTCCCCCCTCCCCTATTTAAGATGATGTTCAAAATTGTACTTTTAACGGTGCAACCAACATAGTAAGTTAGTTCCCTGCTCTCATTTCTTATGCTCATTCAACCATGCAGCTTTGATGACGACATAATTAACTATCCATCAGAATGTTGGTGGTTGTGCTGGTGACCGTGGAGGTGGTATTGTTGGGAACTCCGGTGTTCCAGTAAGTTTTCATATCCCATTTCCACTCCTGACCCCCTTCATTCGTTAGGACATATATGCTGACATAACTTGTAGAACCGCAAGGCTCGAAGAGCCATGGCTCACCAAGCCAGAACTTCCGCTGTAGGAATACTTTCTGCTCTCGTTGCCGCCGCAGGCCTGGCGAGAGCCAAGGCCGACAAAATCGCCGCAGATCTGGCCCTCTCTCGTAGCCACTCACTCGTCATCGCCGCTATCGCCACAGAAGAACATGCCGTCACCGCCGCTGCAGCTGTCGCAGCTTTTCGTGCATATCAAATCGCCGCAAAAGAATTTGAAGCTGTCGCCAAAGACATCGCAACTCCAGCCCCACCCCTCCCACCAACCCCCGCCGCAACCATCAAAGAAGAGCCGTTTGATTTCATTGGTATTCGTGATGATCTGGGGGAGATTACACTCCTTGATGCGTAGGAAGTGGTCTCTGGATGTCTTTTTTTTTTTTCCTTTTTTTGGCTATTCTACATCGCTATTTAAAAATAATGGAATATCTTGCCCACTTATATGTTTATGAAATTGATTTTCGTGTTGCTCCCTAACCTGGTGCTGGAGGTGTAGTACTCTGAAAAATCCCAAATAGGTATAGCCTTGAGGTGTGCGACAAGATCACTCTCATCTTTATAAATATGTGAGAAAAATCCCCTCCTCTGATTCAGTTTCCTTCCAGCACCTTTATTCTTCTCCAAGTTCTCGCTTTCTCAAAATCTCTCTCACCCACTCACTCAATCACACACACACACACACTCTCTCTCTCTCTCTCTCTCTCTCTCTCTCTCTCTCTCTCTATCTCCTCCACTCCCATGTTTAAAATATACCTTTACCGGTAACATCAACATAGTAAGTAGCTTGTACTCTAACTTCTTGTTCTCAGTTTATCATAACTAACTATCCATCAGGACCGCGTTGGTACTGACCATGGTGGTCGTGGAGGCGATCTTGGTGAAACTGCCGGTGTTCCAGTAAGTCTCAACGTCCCAGTTTTATCTCATTCAATCGCCCTTGTGACAAATGATTGTATAATGTATGCTGATCATAACTTATAGAATCGCAAGGCTTACGATACCAGAGCCAGAACCTCCGCCGAAGGGATGCTTTATGCTTTCACTGCCACCGCTAGTTAAGGCTGAGAAACTCGCCGCAGATCTGGCTGCTGCTCAGCTTAAAGGAGGTCTTCTCGCGATCGGAAGTCTCCACCCACTCTCCATTGTCGCAGACCTGGCTCTTGTTCGCGGCAAAGAGGATTTACTCGCAATCGGTAATCCCAGCGCCTTGCGCATTGCCGCAGATCTGTCTGTCTGCGGCTCAGCGTAAAGGAGATCTTCTTGCGATCGGAAGTCTCCTCTCTTCATATCGCCGCAGAGAAAGCGGCCAAGGCGGCCACCGAAGTTGTCGTTTCTCTCTTCAGTCAGCGCAAGCCGCCGCAGAACAGGCCGAGGCTGCTATCAAAGCCGTCGCAGCAACCCCTGACGCTACTATTGCCACCGCTGCAACGATCAAGGCGGAGCTGCTCGATTTCAGGGGTTTTGGTGACAGCATACCTGTCATTAATCTCACCAAATAGGGGATAGGCTTTTGTATTTCTGTTTTTTTCAGTTCTATATTTTAGCTTCTCACTATTGCTATTCACTATAATGAAATCGTATTATTCATCTCTATCAATCATTTTGATCATTGTGATTTCTGAGCCAGGCTATATCCAATAGTCCGAATTGTAGTTCGACTAGAGAAATTCCAATGTTCGAAAGATTTCTAATCTCCGAAGACAATTAAATTATCCCAAACAATTCATTGTTCTAAACAAATTCGATATTCAAAATGGTTTGAATGTTCTTATTGTATTCAGTATTTCAAACCAAAGCAAATGATTGAGGTATATTCAGAAATTAAAAATCTCTCATTGTTGCCTTGTAATCTGGACAATTGGGTTCCCTGGATTATCTGGGAGCCATTGAGCTCCTCGATGAGTAGGAAGTGATCTCTAGGTATCTTTGCATTTGTTCTTTAGCTCTTCTGTGTCGTTACTCAAGAATGATAGAATACCTTGCGTGGGCCACTCACGTGTTTGTGTAACTAATTTTCGCGTTGCTCAAGAACAATGTGAAGATCCCACAAAAAACACCATTTCCAGATGGAATCACTACCTGCAATATCTTGCATTGGTAAGTCTTATATACAAACATTGTGAGTGGAGTGAGTAAGAATCAACTTCTCTGAGCCTCAACGCCCCTGACATACTCCTATTCCACCTCAATTCCCACTCCACTCATACTTAACCAAACTATCACCCTCCTGCGCCCCATTAACCCCAAACCACCCACCCAATAACGTAGCAACCCCAGTCCACGACACAAACCCCAATATTCCATACAAAACCCGAATACCCCACTCCGTCTGCGGATTTAAAATCCCCGGAGCACCAGGAGGAAGTTTCTGTACACCCTCCACAAATGGCCTCATCCTCTCTTCATATTTCCTCAGTCCCTCTTCCCAATTCCCTTCACAAGCTCCTAGTTCTCCTGCAAGATAATACGCACCCAGTATAGCAGAACTCGTTCCCATTCCCGAGATAGGAGACGGGCAGTAGCCTGCATCTCCTACTAATGCAATTTTCCCCTTGTAGAACTGAGGTGGATTCACTTGCGCAATTTCTTGCATATAGTAGTCTGGAGCTACATCCATACCATCTAGAAGCCGTTCCACTTCCCAGCCCATATCACTCATTTCCTCCCTCCAAGCACGTTTTTGCTTTTCAGGTGTCATCTCGAGGTATTTGACTAACTTGCAGGTTTTGGATGGATCGGTGATACTGAGATATATTCTCGTGGTAGTACCATTATGTATATTATCGGGACGCATCAAAATCAAACGTCCACGAGTAGAATTATACCATTTTCCCCATGCATCATCGTGGGGTGCTTTGGGGATGGTAAAGTATGTCGTATATTGATATAATGATTTCAACCCATCATTTGGGAGGGGGATAGCAAGACGCCTAGTCTTCGAACGCATCCCATCAGCTCCAATGACTAGATCAAATGTCCTTTGTTCCCCTTTCGCGAAAGTAACCAGAACACCCTCATCTGTTTCTTCAAAACCGGTCATATGATCATCCCAAATATACTCACACGTCTCCTTCGTACTCTCATAAAAGATATCCGCTAAATCTCCACGTAGTATTTCAATATCACTCGTAAATGAGGTACCATTTTCCTCAACCGGAAATGTAGCTTTAGGTACCCCATTCTTGTCTATGAATTGGAGACCAAGTTCATGGGTTACCTTTGAACGGATGAGAGATTCGAGGCCCATGCAGGATATGACGGCTCGGGCGGGGCCACGGATATCGATTCCTTGGCCGGCGGAGCGGAGAGAGGGGGATCGTTCGATGATGGTGGTGGTTATGGAGGCGCGGTGGAGCCAGTAGGCTAGGACGGGGCCTGCGATACTGGCGCCTGAAATGAGGATGTGGGGTTTGCGGGTTGTGGTGGGGGCCTGGGTGGACATACTGGAAGGGGGGTGTTGTTGATTGGTGGGTGGTGGGGAGCTGGCCTTGGAGATAAAGTGTTGAATATGTAGAGAATGTAGTTGTTGATACTTGCTTGAGTCCGTCTTAGATTTTGATATGTGCGCTGCTACTTGCTCAAGTATATCTTAGATATTGATGTGTGCGCTGCTACAGTGCTACTAAACACACTAATCTTTCAGCCCAAGAAAATCTCAACAATACTTGCTGAGATTTAGCGCGTAGACCGTGTTGTACCGGACAAAACAACTGGTGAGATGAAAATTAGGATTTTGAATTTCGAATATGGTATATGTGTAGTACATAGAATAGAATTACCTGAAGGTTTGGATGAGTGGTATGGGAACAGGCTTACGAGGGCAGTCGTTCTGTGAAAACCACTGTCCAAGTGTCCAACTAGTCTGAACGCTTAGTGAAACTAATTGTGCCATCTTTTGTGTCTCCAGGGATCGACGCCCTCTCTGTAGGATCTACCGCAGATATCTGCAACCACCACTTGGTTTCCGAGCAGCCCGGGAATTCCATGGATAAAAGATGTACAGGAAATGACCACTTGACGAAACAGAACAAGCTACGATTTCAGCGGAGGTCGGGACAGAAGCTCAAAGGCATGTACCAACCGAGTTCCTGGGATGGGAAAAGCGATTAATCCCTGGTATAAATTATCTCAAATATTCAGATCCTCAGTTCGAATCCCAATGCTATCAATCTATATATCTGTGACCAAAAGGGTATAAACAGGACTCCGATTGTGTACTTAGAATCTACAAGTGAAGAGCTATATAGGGTGCTAAAAGGAGGATTATATATATAGGTATTTGGGAACCATAAGGGTTAGGCCCAAAAGAGTAAAAGAGTCCTAGAGATAAGCATTGTACAATGCCTAGGTCTAGAGCTATAGAGTTAGAGCTCTAAGCTGTGAAAGGAAGGTCCCAGAGAGCCGTCATATCATGCTACATACGTAGTATGAGCCAGTGGGCGGAAGAGAGCCGTCTGTTCCGTCACAATATCTATAAATTCTCGAATATCTATTAATAAATCACTAGAATTAATAATTTTATATAATTTCGAATAATCGATTTTATAGAAATTTTATCAATATTCTACTTGAATATTTAATCTTATAGAGAGTATTAAATTATATTAAAGTATATAAAATCAATTAACTTTTTATTCTAAAGATATAATAATTTGAAATTAAGTTATTTAGATTTAAAAAAGGCTATTTTGTTGATGGAATTCTTAAATTAAACTTATTTTATATTTAATATTCGCTTTTTATATTAGAGTATTAGCTTATTCGCTATTAATAATAATGATTAAGCTATTTATAATAATATTTCAATTATTTAAAAAAGTTAATATTTAGTCTTTAATATTAAAAGAGATAAGTTGTAATTAGATATTGATTTTAGATTTTATAAGATTATAGAAGTACTCGAGTAGTAGCCTTTACTTTAGAATGCTTAGTATGATTCAAAAAAGAGAAATTATCGAAAAAGAAAAAAAAGATATGCGCTTGAGAGCTGAGGGATTCGAACTATAGAGTATTGTTAATAACTGTATCTTATTATGAGGATAAGGGATAAATTACCCCTCGCAGTTTCCTATTGCGGTTTAAATCCTCGATAGAAGGAACCTAAACACAACGCCTTAACCACTCGGCCAAACTCCCCATGCCATTGCAGTTTTTGATATAAAGCATTGCCGAAAACTACAATATAACCAAAAAATTATTTGGAATATTATTCATAATTAAATACCAAACTATTCAGATAACATTTAATCTTGTTAATCGGAACTACGTTTTGAAATAATCTAGAACAAGCTCCATCTTTTCGAAATCGAACACAACGGCTCTACCTCGAACACAAAGCCCGGCCCTGCCCGGCCCGCGAACTCGAAGTCGGACTCAAATTATATCCACTACCTCGCGTCCAATTTTGACAAACCCACCAGCAACCAATGTTCTACATAGTACATACAAGAGATCTGTGCTCCACTATTGTGCAACACATGTAGCTACAAAACCATTCTTCGATATTCATCTATATGGACTTGATAGCCCCTTTCTACTAATTATTAGAGACTCATTCCATATAGGAATAAATAATAATTTTAAATGCGAAAGTACATTGACCTCTCTAGCGATTGCTTGATTATATAAATCAATTAAGAATCAAACCTCTGTTTTCATCTATAGCTAAGAGCGAGACCAGTTTCAATATATATTTACCAATATATAGCTCGAGAATATCTTTTACTATTCAATATCTAATACAGTTAGCATATTCTTCAAAACTATCAAGAATGAGTATACAACTCATATATGTAGTCAGGACAATCGCAAATCGCATTTGACCGCCCTGACGGTACCGCTCTGTATTGTCTTGCCATCAAGGCCAGACAGAGTCTGGCATAGGAGGCCGATTGTTAGCTGATGCGTTAATTCTGACGTTTTAGTAACGAAATAAGGAGCTAGCATTCTCCTGTATATGATTGTCTAAATCCCTTACATTTTCGTAAAGATATTGAAGTCGATTTAAATCAAATAGTCTGAGTATTGCCTGGATAGTATTAATATAAGATATGTTTAACAAAGACTCTTATATTGTAAGATTTCACTTGAATAACTATAACAGGATTCAAACCAATATCATCCAATATCTCTATTGATATATTAATGCCGGTATCTTTACTATTATCATCGAACATCTCTATTGAGGTATCAATACCGGTGTTCACAATAACCCGACTACTATTGATCCTACTTTACCATCTTCAACATCTAGAACACCAGAACACCATCCACAACCTGTCCATGCTCCATCAATCCAATATCAAGATGACAGAACATCACAGCAGAAATCACCTGATAGAATTGAGCAAAACGGGCTTGAAAAAATATAAAACTACTTTAAGATCATTCTCACCCAAGATGAGGAAGAAAGAAAAGAACTAATGACATTGAAACATCTCAACTCCAACGAATGTTTACCGGTGTATACACCAGAGCCTACGGGCTCTACTCCCATATAACCTGCCAGCTTCGCCCCAATAGCCCTTGCTTCCCTTACTAACACTATTTCCACTGGCAGTGAACTGCAGTGGACCACTGCAGTCACTACCGATGCTTCTATCAAATCCTCTGTCGGAGAATCCTCCGAGACCACCACGAGATCCGCTAGATCATCTCTTAGTGGATCCTCTGATTCCACATCTGGTTTCGATTCATTGAGCAATATCATCCCAACTGCTTCTCTGGTATCAATAACATCGCTGCTAATAGGAACATCCTTGGGGAATCTAATATCAATGGTGTTTACAACAACTTTTACAGCTCAATATTGTGGAAAATATTGATAGGTTATAATATTCCATATTCTCTTTCCACATTTATCTGCTTATTAAACTTTTCATATAATATAGTTTTCAAAAGATAATGAAAGAAAACAGCTGCTACTTCATTAGTTAAGCTAGTGCAAATAAGCCAAAAACAAGAACCTTTATCAAGTATCTCCGATCGACGAAAAGCACCCAATATTGCTTCAACGACAATCCCAGTTCGAAACTATTAGTAGTAGTAGTAGTAGTACTAGGCTGCGCAACGGGCCCCGTTGCGCAGCCAAGCTCAGACTAAAATCAACACGAAGAATTTTGAAATAGGGATTATAGTAACCAATATAGCGAAACCCACAAACGATAGGAGGAAACAGGTAGCCAAAGGAGTTTCATTCCAAACCCAGTTAGACGCTTACCTCGAGAGCAAGAGAAAGGTTATAAATGATGTTGGATCCGCAGAGTAGATGTTGAAGCTGGCTAGCTCATCAATAGATTAAATATTCTCAAATTAGAGGTCAAGAGGCGAAGGAAGGGTTGAAGTTGAATAATAGAGATTTGAAAAAAGAAGACGAAAGAAAGGTTTGGAATAGAGAAACTAATTATATTTCAAAAATGAAGAAAAGGAAAGGAGGCTTACAGAGGAGAAGCTTAAAGGAGCCTACATATGTTGTTTTATTGGAATCTAAGCGAGCTGAAGATGAGATTTGTATATTGAGTTATGTTGGGAGGTAGCTTGGAGATGCGGTTTACAGATGAGATTTGGAGAAGGGGTAGATATGATTCGGAGATGCGATTTAGATCTGGGGTTGATAGGGGTTAGATTAAGGATTGTGGATTATGTTGAGGAGTAGTTGAGATGGGTTAATTCTATGATAGATTTAGAGCTAGACTCTTTTGTGCGTAATTTAATACCTGAACTTACTCATTCCTGAAGTACTTTCAATGATAATAATCTAGAACTATGAAAGCTATGAACAGAGAGCCCTTATAAGCGTACTAGCGCATGCGCTAGCTAGTGCATATGCTAGTACCGTATAGTACATATAATCTATATTTCGACAAGCACTGTATAAGTTGATCTCGTTCTGTGAAGATCGAGGCCTCGATCCTGACAGATTCTAGGGAGTGATGACAAAGTGAAGCTGATTCTGGGCAAGTGTACAAGCCGAGCCTTTTCGTAATAGGCAGATGTTGTCGTCCTTCCCAAAATCATTATTTTCGATATCATATCTCACTTCATAGCCGGTATTATAATGAATTTGCTTGCTCAGCTCGAGGACAGCATCAGTTGGAATGGAAGTTGATACAAGATTTGAAATGTTCGACTCTTTATCCTCAAGAATCATCGGCCTGTATACATATAGTCAGGAAATTGGTCATCACAGCTAGTAGAAGCCAATTCATATAACTTTAGTGCCCCGGCTTTTTTAAAGTCTTTTTACTGAGATTTTCCTGTGTTCAGGCGGAGCTAATATGCTCTCTATAGACTATCGATGAGAAGCAATCGTCTGCTTCACCCAAAACCATCTCATCCTATCTGAGTGTATTCCCCCAGAATCATTCCATCGCAGACAGAATCGATCTCTATTCAGATTCTCACAAGTTAGTTATGGTCGTTGAAAGCCAAAATTAGAATTTGCCTTTGAGGCGCAGAGCAGTTAGGACATAACTATCCTAGCTCTGACTTCAATGTTTGATTGCTTGATCCAATCTTCCCTTAAAGTCTTCAAGATCACTAATACCATAATCAATTGGATTGCCGAGTACAGATATACGAAGATACTTCAAAACGTCAATATCTCGGCGGGGAAAGTCCCCGTTGGTATACTTCAAATTCCAACTCAGAAAATCAATGACATTGACTGAATGTTCATCAAATAGTTGATGATACGACATACGGCCAGTCAAGTTATTAAACAAGGTGTGGGTGTCATGGGTGCGTGGACGGTGCCAGGTAGCATGATTAGGTTATCACTTTTTCGTAACTCATATGCGGCAGTCCTCACGTCAGGGGTGGTATCCAGCTTTCACCATGTGCAGCAAAGTCGGCCCATACCTCCAATTGTCGTTCTCTGGATAAATGTCTAATTTCCGCGAAAGGCCACAAACTGATATCGTCATCTTTACCATGCATGAGGATTGTGGTAAAATAACCCATACTATTCATATGCCAGCTAGATGTAGAACCAGATGAGGCATGAAGACGAAAGTTGAGAGATCCGACAACATCGTTAGTGCAAGCTTTAAAGTGCTTGCCAATGCCTTCACAATCTATCTGGATTTTCTGTGTAATTTGATGATGGATCTTGTCAGGAAGTCGTAATGGATTACCTAGAACCCTCAACTGAAGCATACTGACCGGGTTCTTCGTGAGATCGTTGATGGTGTCATCAAATTCTTCCTTGGCCTCGTAGACAGCGCCGCAGATTTGGTGATAGCCGGCGTATACAAACTCCCCTCCTTTCCTCTCCTCAACTAAAGGAGAGAAAGGATAACTTCAAGTAGGTAGGATGATTAGGTAGATTGATGGAAAAAGGTAAAATCGAAGGAGAGTATATATTCAAAAAATGGTAAGAACAGGAGGGGAGAGTTGAAATTCACAAAAAGTATATTTGGAAATACTAATCATCCTTTTTTTAAAGGATTAGACAGATTAAAGAAAAATAGATAAATCAAGAGGAGAGTATAAGGATATTTAGGGTTCAGGAAAGGAGATAAGAGGAGCAGGAGGAGGGGAGTTTGTATACACTGGTGACAACTCTCGGACTATCAAAGGTTTGGTTTGCTTTATCCGGAATAGTGCCTTGAATCTCCACAAAAGTGCTGTTTGGAAAAGGTACCCAGAATTCTTGAATGGTGTCGAGTTTCTTCCCAGTGTATGCAAACTCTCCTCCTCTCCTTTCCTTGACTAAAGGAAAGGAAGGATAACTCCAATTAAAATGATTAGATAGATTAGGGGAAAAGAAAAGATTGATAGAGAATTTAGGTTCACAAAAGAATATTACGATTTTTAGAGCTCAGGAAAGGAGAGGAGAGAGGAGAAGGAGGGGAGTTTGCATACGCTGCTTCTCCCAAGCGATGCCTTCCAAAACGACAGTTCTGAAGTTTCGGAATTCCCCGTTGTCTAGTCATTCTGAAAAAGCCTTCTTGTCATGGAATACAGCGGCTATGATCTTCACCCCAAACTTTATCAATATAATCGAAAATAATTAATACCAGAACTCTTCGACGAATCAAAAGCCTTATATACTACTTTCTATTACTTAGAAGTGATTTTATTATTTTGTAAGAATAATAATATCTTGGTTTTGAGCTTTATTTTGAATAATCTTTGATAATTCGAATTAAATTCATCTAAATCAGATAATGATTATATTGTTAAAATTATTTAATTATATATATTTAAATATTCTTCATGTTGATTCATTTTGATTTGTCTAATTTTATTTTATTACAAATTAATATTTATATACAAATTGATATAATTCTACTAAAATATCAAAATATCAGCTCAAAAACACCAATTTTAGTGGGGGCCATCCACAAATAAGCCTTTCTGCAAGGCTGAAAATAAATTTTACCTGCAGCTAGACCATTCCACAGGCACCCCCAATTGCAAAACCCAGCAAGAACAATACCACATTTTCACAATGGCAGATATGGATGAAGATGCGCCTATAAATTCTCTTTACAATCAATCGAACGAAGATAACGAAGAAGGTGATGAGACCCAAGATTTCCGCCTTCTCGCATCCCTCAGTTCAAAGACAGGCTCATTACCCAAACGCGGAGAGAAGGATTTCGAACCCCACGGTACGAAACAACAAGATGGTGTACTGGCTGCATCGAGGCAGGCAATGCATGATGCGCTCGATTACACAAGATTTCATCTGCCAAAGGCGCATATAAGGGCTTTTTATTATGGGGAGGGTGTAGGAGAGGGGCTGGAGAGAGATGAGCTAGTAGGTGAGGAGTGGAGGAAGGGTTTGGAGGCAGATCATATTGTGGTGGTGGAGAGCCCTAGGGGACCACATTTCAGGACAATTGGGAGGGCGAATGAGGGAAAACACAAGAGCAGTTTGTGGTTATTACCCGAGGAGGCGCTATATCTAGTCGAGAGAGGAAATCTAGACTTATGGTGGCCGAACAAATCTTCATACAATGGGGTCGAAGACGGGGAAAGTGATAAGAGGGGAGATTCTGGAGATGAGGATGAAGGCGCACCAATGAGTTTACAGGCTGCATATGCTATGCTTGTTGGTCTCGATGGTGAGAGAGGAAAGATCAGCTTAGAAAGGTACAATGTTTATGCCAATCTGAAAAGAAATGGATATGTTGTTACTAGAGGTCCAGATTGGGATCCAAGCAGTCCCGCCAAACCTTTTGAATACGGACCCACGCCAGGAGAGTCAAAAGGTTTGTTCACCTGGCTTTTCGATCTGTTCGCGAAAGACACAACACATTCTCCACATGGCCCATTGGTACAACCAGGTCTACACAGATCTTACGATTCTATTTACCGCCAAATGGCCATAATACCCCGATACAAACCGTCTCCAATACCTGATGAATCCTCCAAACCTCCGTCTCATCCATTTCGCGTTTGCTTTCATATCTGGAAGCCAAGTAGCATCCCTACATTCGCCAAAACAAACCCAGGTTCCCCAGATTTCCGTATAGCGGTCGTGGATGCGAGAGAGACCTTTGTGCCTACCTTACCAGAGGTAGTATCGCTATTTGATAGCTCGCCTTGGGATGCACCGGGAAAGAGCATGGAGGGCCCGAACAAAGTGTACAACAGGATCAGACATGGGTATAGGAATGTAATTCTAGCAGTCAATGATCAGGGAATCATCAGCTATCTGAGGATGGGAGATTGTGCGTTTGGGGAAGAGAAATTGTATGAGAGATTTGACGAGGGCAATTCACGAGGTAACAAGAGAGGTGGAAGACGGGGGAGAGGTGGTGGCAGGGGTAGAGGCAGAGGTAGAGGTCGAGGTGGGAATTGATTATCTGAAATGAAGATAGAGACATCTGTCATTGACATTTGATGCATGATCAATAATGACCCAATAACGATGTGATACTAAGTTAGTCTGCCGAACAAAATGTGCAAATTTTCGTTGAATGCCCTGTTTAATCAATCCGACCTGGCTCAACATTTCCTTGACCCAATACTCACCTCCCATTTCGCTTTGCCAACAATCAATGTTGCATTCTTAGTTAGCCCTTTTCCGACCGACATGTCTTTTGCTCTCTATTACAGTAACAGTAATATTTTTGACTAGCAGCATAGGAAATCCCAATTTGTTTATCTTCTCCGTTACCGTTTCATTTTTAAGAATCCTCTAGAATTTCAAAATTTGAATAGAGACTTTCTTTTGATGCTCTAGCGTTAATAGCACTAGAATTATTATCTAGTAGAATATATTATAACGTGGTTTATCAGTGGGTCGGCCACTTTTACCTCGATTTATTACTTCAAAGCTATATTATTCAAGAACAATTTAATGAATCGATTAAAACTGTTAAGAATCTAATAAACTAGGATCTATTACATCATTCTGACAAGTTCTTGAATTATGACCGGTCTTTCCACACTTGCTACAGCATCGACTAGTAGAAGATTCCCCATTAGAATTTCTCCCATTTTGATGCTCGTCGTGTCGAATCTGAACCTCTACCTCTTATTGTAATAATATATCCTCAGCTTCCTGTCCAGTAAGTACTCCTCCATTCCGTAGTTGAACTTTTTTAACACGTTGATGTTTGCTTAATGCCTCATTTGCCTTTCGAAGTATACAATTCTCTATATTTAAAAGTGTAACTTTATAAGCTAATCATTCTGTATTCTTAGCCAAAGCAGCTACAGTCTCGAATATAGGTGTAGGAAAGCTTGATTGATGTCGAGCAATTCGAGATCTTACTAAAGTCGATTGTGAAAGAGCTTCAGTTGGATTATGAGGTATTTGAGAAACCCAAGAATCGGCAGATTCCAAGGGAATGGGTAAAGGGGTAGGTATACGATTCGAATATCTAATTTCGAGAGCATAGCTTGAGGGTTGAATGATATTAGTCCTGTTCCTTGAAAGTCAGCTTTCATATTCTGAACTGTAATCGATTGTTGATATACAGCTTTGAAAGCTATAAAGAATTCAACCTTAGAGATATAATTGATATAAGCCTTGATAAATCCTTCAATTTGTGAACCATATGCTCGTTTTAATACACTAAAACATTCAACATCAAGTGATTGGGTTAGATGACTTGAATACAGTAGTAACTTTATGTATATAATATCATTTGACTTGCAATATGACTGAAAAGGTATTGATTCGTAATTTTCGTACCCATCCAATACTAGCATTCGATATTTGCCTTTCCTTTGATGAATAGTATGCTTGTCGAAGTACTTTATCCAATCTAAACCTGTCTCATTATTCATCCATCCATTAGAAATAGGTTTAATAACCCAATCTACAGGAAAATCGCTTTCCGTATACCAATTAGAGAAGTGATATTATCCTTGCACCACTAAAAATGGTAATATAATCCAATCCTCTCCATTACCACATATAATCGCTATAGCCCACTCTTGATTGTCTAGTTGTATTGCTTTGCTTCTGCTATATCGTTTAGTACCAGTTACAATCATTCTAGGGTATATTATACCTATTATAAAACCGGTTTTGTTGAAGTTATAGAAGTCGCAGTCCTGAATACCATATTTTGCCTGCATATTCGATACCAATCAGAACCACCCTTCAATAAGCTCTGGATCTTCACAAAAAGCTTTTTGAAAGTTATAAACACAATTAAAATGTATCTTCAGTTCTGAATATTGTTTTACAAAGCAATAAGCCCAAAACTTTCCAACCTTCTTCGCACCCTGCAATTCGAATATATAATTCGTCATATCTTCCACACCACTTAATTTAGGTGCAAATCCTCTCTTATCCAGATCGAGTATATATTGAATAAAAACTTCCTCTTCCAATTTGATCAAATTATAGCTTTTTGGTCGACTTTCAGCCATATTAGGTTTACCTCGAATTCTATCACCCAATGTAGA